TTTATTTGGGGGAGAGGGGAGGGAGGATCAGAAAAAGAGAGAGAGAGAGAGAGAGAGAGAGAGAGAGAGAGAGAATCCCAAGCAGGCTCCACAGTGTTAGCTCAGAGCCTGATGTGGGGCTCGATCTCACAAACCATGAGACCATGACCTGAGCCAAAATCAGGAGTCAGATACTAACTGACTATGCCACCCAGGCACCCCTGTTTAGGAAATTCTTTATCTCTCCTTCAATTCTGAATGATAACCTTGACAGGTAGCATATTCTTGGTTGTAGGTTTTTTTTCCTTTCAGCTCTTTGAATATATGCCACTCCTTTCTGGCCTGCATAGTTTTTGTTGCAGAATCAGCTGATAGCCTATGGGGTTTCCCTTGTATGTAACTAGTTGCTTCTCTCTTGCTGCTTTTAAAATCTCTCTTTATCTTTAACCTTTGACATTTAATTATTTTATTATGTGTTGGTGATATGGACCTCCTTAAGTCATCTTGTTTGGAGCTCTCTGTGGTTCCTGAATCTGGATGTTTGTTTCCTTTCTCCAGTTAAGGAATTTTTCAGCTATTATTTCTTCAAGTAAATTTTCTTCCCCTTTCTTCTTCTGAGACCCCTATAATGTGAATGTTTGCTTGCTTGATGTTATTCAAGAGATCCCTTAACCTATCCTCTTTTTGTTTTAAGTTTATTTTACTTATTTTGAGAGAGAGAGAGAGTGAGCAGGGGAGGGGCAGAGAGGGGGGAGGAGAGAGACAGGATCCCAAGTGGGCTGTCAGCACAGAGCCTGACATGGGGCTCAAACTCATGAACTGTGAGATCATGACCTAATCCAAAATCCAGAGTCAGTTGCTTAACTGAGTTACCCAGGTACCCTATTCTCTTTAAAAATAGAAATAGATTATTTTTTCTTTTGGCTGTTCTGCTAGGGTGATTGCCATTACCCTATCTTCCAGATTGCTGATATATTCTTCTGTATTCTCTAATCTACTGTTGATTTCCTTCTAATGTATTTTTCATTTTAGTTATTGTATTCTTCAAATCTGATTGGTTCTCTTTATGTTTTCTATCTCTTTGTTGAAGTTCTCACTGAGTCTACTCTTCTTTCCAGTCTGGTGAGCATCTTTATGATAATTACTTTAAACTCTGTAGCAGGCATATTGCTTATCTCCATTTCATATAGTTCTTTTTCTGGGGTATTGTCTTGTTCATTCATTCAGAGCATATTCCTCTGTTTCCTCACTTTGCTGGACTGTCTGTGTTTGTTTCTATGAATTAGATGGAACAGCTACTTCTCCTAAACTTGCAGGAATGGTCTTGTATATGGTCATCTTCTGTGGAGACTGTAGGTGGCTGGTGCCTTTGGCTGGCTGGCTGGAACTGTGTCTGCATGGGCTCGGGTCCCAGTGCACTCCATGCTGTGGCTACCCTGGTGGGATGGCTGGAGCGGAAGTGAGTGTGGGCCTGGGCGGTCCCAGGACTCTGTGTAGAAGGTGCCCCAGCAGGACAGCTGAAGCTGAAGTGAGCTCAAGGCAGTGGGTCTTAGGGTCCTTCATGCAGAGTGCCCTGGCAGGGCAGCTAGAACCACAGGAGGGCATGGCCCAAGGGGCCAGGGGCACCTCATGTCGGAAGTGTCCCAGTGGGATGTCTGGAACTGAGGTGAGGCATGTGCTGCACAGGATCAGCCTGGGAGGATACCTGAAGCAGAAGTAGGTGAAAGCTAGGGTGTCCTGAGGTGTTCAGTGAAGAGTGTGCCCTATTGGGGTGATTAAAATGGAGGCCGGCATGGGCCAGGTTGTCCCAGGATATTCTGTACAGAGGGCTCCCTGCTGGGGTGGCTGGAGCTGAGGTGAGGGGTGGGCTTGGGGTCTCAGGGTGCTCCATGCAGGAGGTGTTTTGGCAGGGCAGCTAGAGCTAAAGTGAACACGGGCTGGGGGTTCCCAGGGTGCTCCATGCATGGGACATCTTAGCAAGGCAGCTGGAGCCAGAGTAGGCATTAGCTAAGAGGTCCCAGAGTGCTCTGTGTCAGGGGTCCCCTAGCAAGCTATCTGGAGCTGAAGTGGTGTGGGCCTGGAATTTTCCAAGGAGGTGCTTTGTGCTTGTGTCACCTTGGCATGATGGTTGGAGCCATAGTGATTGCTGGACCAGGGGTGTCCCAGTGTGTGTCATGCTGGGGCCATCTTTGTGTGACAGCTGGGGTTGGCAGGCTAGGGGCCTGGGGCTCACTGAGGTGGTAGGCTGGCTATGGCGCCTGGACCTTGTTCCCGTCCACATTATCAAGTTGGATGCGGAACATAACTGTGGTGCTCACCAGCCCTTTCAACCTGGAGAGTTCTAGCAGGTCCCCCTGCTGTCTGTTGGAGTTCTAGGACTGGCTCTTTTATATTTGGTTCCTCTTTTAAACTGTGGCTTTTCTGTGCCCCACGGTGTCTGAGGCTGGTGTGGGCCAGGGGCATGGGGCTTGTTGACATGACAGGCTGGCCATGGAGCCTGGACCCTGTCCTATCTGCACCATCCAGGTAGAAGGGGAAGGTAAACCATGGTGCTCCCCAGCCCCTCTGACCCAGCAAAAGCTTTACCTGTTCCCTCACTGCCTAGCGAGATTCTAGACCTAGCTCCTTTACACCCTAGCTGCTCTTTTAAACTGTGGCTTCTCCTCCATGCCCCAGCGTGTCTGGGGCTGGTATGGGCCCAGGACCCAGTGGGCCCAGGCTCTCTGGGGTGGCAGGCCAACCAGGGGTTTGGAACCCTGCTCCCATCCACATCCCCACCGTGGTGGAGAGGGAACACAGACTATGCTACCCAGAGAGAGTTCCAACAGCTCTCTCACCACTGGGCAAGGTTCCAGGGCCAGTTCCTCCACATTCCAGTTGCTTTTCCAACCTTCAGCTTTCCCTCCAAGCCCCAGGGCATCTGGACCTGGTGTGGGCCAGTGACCCGGAGCTTGCAGGGGTATCGGCTACTCTGTCTGTCCTGCCTCTCCATGTGGTCTCCCCATCCTCTGTTGTACAGAAGCTGCTCAGTCAGCCCTCAGCTCCCCCTAGGGCAGAATTGCTGTACAGATAGATGTAGACCTGGTGCCTCTGTGGAGGAGGTGAGCCCAGGGTCTTCCCATGTCACCATCTTGGACTGGAGCCTCCTCTAGTGTTTCCTATAAAGCATTTCTTCTGACAGTCTTTCTGTTTTTTCTTCTTCTTCTTCTTCTGAAACTATATTATTTCATTTTCATTTTTTGAAGGTCATTTTTTGTTTTGGTTTGTGTTACTGAGTACAAAATTTGGGGTTGCCAGTATTTTTTCTTTCAGCACTCTAAGATGTCATCTGGTTATCTTCTGACGTCTATAGTTTCTGTTGAAAAGTTATTTATCAGTCTTATTGCTGTGCCTTTGGAGGTGATAAGGTGTGCTTTTTATTGGTAGCAATTTGACTATGATGTGTCTTAGTGTGGCTTTCTTTGTATCTGTCCTGCTTAGGATTTAAAGAACTTATTGAATCTATCAATTATGTCTTTCATCAGGTATGGAGTCTTGGGAATTATTTTTTCAAATACTGTTTTTTCCCATTCTGTCTCTACTCTCACTCTAGGCCTACAGTTATAGGTGTGTTAGACCTTTTGAGTGTCTCCTGCATGTCTCTAATATAATCTTTTAAAAAAATTTTTTAATGTGTTTATTTTTGGGAGAGAGGGACAAACAGATCATGAACAGGGAGGGGCAGAGAGAGAGAGAGAGAGAGAGAGACACAGACTCTGAAGCAGGCTCCAGGCTCCGAGCTGTCAGCACAGAGCCCAACGTGGGGCTCGAACCTGCAAACCATGAGATCATGGCCTGAGCCAAAGTCAGACGCTTAACTGACTGAGCCACCCAGGCGCCCCTCTAATATAATCTTTTCGATTAAAAATTTGTTTGGATAATACAGGTAATTTCTTTTAACCTGACTCAAATTCACTAATTCTGTAAGCTGCAATTCTTAGACAGGAGAGGATCAAAAATACACAAACAGCAACAAACAAAAATATGGAAGATCGGCTGAAACTTTGACCTAGCTATGGGTACAGGGTAGAAAATATTAACAATACCTAGCAATTGATAGGTAATCAAAACAAGAACCAAACACACACACACACACACACACACACACACACACACACACACCAAATAATTAGCTATTTGTATATTTGATAATAAAACAAGTTTTTACATATGTTCTTCTCTATTGCTGCATCATTATTCGAATTCCCTTTCCTCTCATTAAATCCCAGTGGAAGAGCCATCAGATGTTATTAAAACAGGAGTCCTTGTATCTCTGTGGAACCTCCTGGCCATCGCAATGTTACTAATAGTGGCAGGCAGATATTCATGCTCAAATTTCCCCGTGAAAAAGATGGTTTAAAAATTAACCTTCCCCAGCGGAACTACTAGAGGACCTAGCACTGGATTGTTTTCATCTCTATTTCTCTGCCATTTCTAGTTTCTCCCTAGAAATAGTTGGGTAACTGCACAGCTCTTTGCAAAAGTTCATTTCTAACTTGATACATATATTTAATATATTTTAAGTGGGGATTGCTTCTTTAATGATTATTATTTTTTAGAAGTTTATTTTGAGAGAGAGCAGGGGAGGGTCAGAGAGAGGGAGAGAAAGAGAGAATCCCAATCCCACGTGGGGCTTGAAATCACAAACCGGAAGATCATGACCTGAGCTGAAATCAAGAGTTGGACGCTCAACCCAGGTGCTCTCTTTCATTATTTTTTTTTAATGTTTATTTATTTTTGAGATGGGGGCCGGCTGAGAGAGAGAGGGAAACACAGAATCTGAAGCAGGCTCCAGGCTCTGAGCTGTGAGCACAGCGCCCGACAAGGGGCTTCAACCTACAAGCCATGAGATCATGACCTGAGCCAAAGTCAGATGCGTAACCCACTGAGCCACCCAGGCACCCCAACTTTAATGATTTTTAATTTAAGTTTGAAAATTGAGTTGGTTTCATGATATTGTTACCCACCAATATTTTACACAGAGTCCATCTGTTTGAAAGAGAAAAGGCAGAGCGGAAAGCAGGCCTTTTGGAGGAAAAGTTAGCAGGTGTTAATGCATTCACCCATCATATGAATATGAAAGGACAAGAAGATTCCTTGGATAGTTTCATGATGAAGGTGAGAATAAATATTGATTTTTCAAGAAACAGGATTTGCAAGACCTCATGTTACTCTGAGAGATAATTGGCAAATGTTTAGTAGGTTGTTGGTCTGCTTCTGATCCTGGGGGGATGGGAACTGGGGGGGCGTGGGGATGTTGGCGGGGAATCAAAGGAAGCTGTGCAGTATGGTTGACCGAAAGCCTTTCCGAGGTACAGAGAGTAATCACAAGGTGGATCTAAGGCCTCTGTGATAGAACCCTAAAAGGGATTGGAGCTGAGCGAGACCTGGGAGGAAGCGGTGGTGATAAGAGAATGAAATGTCGGTGTTTTACATTTCTGGTGTGGGTTACCTCCTGCTGCTGCCAGCAGCTGGATTTTGGGCTCTGAATGTGTGTTGAAGGGCGGTGTAAGCAAAAGTCATTGAAGCCGAGGCACAGAAATCACAAAGCTAAACGGGCAGATCATCTACATTTGACCTTGAAATCTAGAATTATGGCATGAGTTGGGTTTAGAAGGAAGAGATGAGCCTGGTCACTAGCAATTCACCGGATGAGTAGAGGTTTTATAGAAGAATGTTGGAGGATGGGAGCCAGGGAAGAAATACAAGCCTTTTTTTTTGTTTTTGTTTTTGTTTTTAGCCCTGACTATTTATAATGGAAGCAGGATGATTACAGGAGTACAAGGGAAAGGTTGGGGGAAAGAGGTGTGACTTCTTTCATTTATACATCTATACATCTACATAGTCAAAGTTGTTGTTACTAAGTGATGTTATAGAACCATGATGAAGTCTTTGTAGAAATATCTGTTGCCCTCCCAACTTTTCATTAAGTGTCTTAGCATTCATTGATGGTCCTCGCCTGAATCAGTTATTTCATTAGATAGAAAATGCTGATTTTTAAATTTATATCATTCCTTCTACATTTATTAGCTCAGAATTTTCTTTTTTTTTTTTTTGTTTTACATTTTTAATGTTTATTATTTATTTTTGAGAGAGAGAGGGGCAGAGCATGAGTGCGGGAGGGACAGAGAAAGAGGGAGAGACAGAATCTGAAGCAGCTCCAGGCTCTGAGCTGTCAGCACAGAGCCCAATGCGGGGCTCGAACCCACAAACTGTGAAATCATGACCTAAGCTGAAACCAAGAGTCAGATGCTTAACCAACTGAGCCACCCAGGTACCCCCAGAATTTTCTATTAAGAGTTTAACTTCATAACTGAGGCTATTTGGTTAGCTGCTTCTCTAAGCTAAATTTCCTGTGTTCTCAAAACAATTTCTGTGTACAGTCATTTTAATACCTCTTGATACTCCAGTTTGCTCTTTTGAGCATGCCCTCATCTGTCTTATGACTCCATAACTCTTTATTTCTTTGGAGGACCTTTCTCCTGAAGTCTTGTGTTATGACTATATTTATATTTCAAGAAAACAAAAGGAAGTCAATGTCTCCATATTAAATTCCAGATGGGAAGTTTCATGTGTGTTGGCACGTTTAGGATATAGGGGAAGCTATCCTGACCAAGAACTTGGAGAGAGACAACATTTTTCACTCTGAAGGACCAAAAGATGGGCAGAAAATTTGGGATAAATGTCAGCAAGATTCAATCCATAGGGAAAAACAAAAATATGAGTTGGACAGACCTTTGTCTCCTTCCGGCTGGGAAACAAAAACTGCGCGATGTCACTGTCAGAAATTCCTCAGTCGGTTGGCTACTCTTCTGAGCAACAGTGCTGTCCCCACACTAGCCACGGAGGAAGCTGTAAAAGAGAGGGTTCGGGAAGTTGGTGCAAATGAGCAATCTTGGAAGTCTGTTAAGTGTATTGACAGACAAGCCACCCTTTCAGATTTGTTTCTTTAACATGTGGATTTTTTTATATTAGCCGATTTAGTAAATTCCGTGGCTCTGAATTTTAATTTTGATTTCATTTCTATTACTACAATATAAAAGGGAAGAGGATGTCCATTATTACAGCAGAGGTTAGTATAGTGTATTTGTGAAAAGTAGAGGGCCCCAGTATGAATCCCAGCTCAGCCATTGCCAGCTGTGTGCTCTTGGGCCGGTTCCTTATCCTCTCTGTACCTCGGTTTCATTTGTAAAATTTGGTGGAGGGGGGTGGGGTGGGGGCTGGGAGGGCACAGTTCCTGTCTCACAGAGTGGTAAGGATTAAATGGATTAATACATGATAAATGCTTACTACAGTTCAGTGGAAGGTCAACGAATGCTAGCTTAAAGATAGTGGTATGGGGGCGCCTGGGTGGCGCAGTCGGTTGGGCGTCCGACTTCAGCCAGGTCACGATCTCGCGGTCCGGGAGTTCGAGCCCCGCGTCAGGCTCTGGGCTGATGGCTCAGAGCCTGGAGCCTGTTTCAGATTCTGTGTCTCCCTCTCTCTGCTCCTCCCCCGTTCATGCTCTGTCTCTCTCTGTCCCCAAAATAAATGAACGTTGAAAAAAAAATTTTTTTTTTTAAAAAATAATTAAAAAAAAAAAAAAAAGATAGTGGTATGGTGGGGTGCCTGGGTGGCTCAGTCGGTCAAACGTCCCACTTCCTCTCAGGTCATGATCTCGCGGTTCGTGGGTTCAAGCCCTGTGTCAGGCTCTGTGCTGACAGCTCGGAGCCTGGAGCCTGCTTCGGATTTTGTGTCTCCCTCTTTCTCTGCGCCTCACCTGCTCTCTCTCTCTCAAAAATAAATAAAAATTTAAAAAAAAATAGTGGTATGGTGAAGATATATATGTGTCCATCATGACTAAATACTGGTCAGTTCAGTCAATGGGGTAAAATACATTGTCAAGTCAGTCATTTGTTTGAATATACTGGCTGAGTCTACCAAAGATTGAACTGGCAAGTTTAAGTGGCTATATATCTCCTTGTCATGTCCACATGATTTTAGTAAAATTTCATGCCTCTTCGCCCTAAAATTCAAAGTTAGATACTGCTTAAATTCAGTGTGTCAATAAAATCTGCTCAGTCTGTTTGTTGGAGAGTTCCAATTTTTTCTTTTACTTTTTGCTTAAAATTCATTACACAATTTTATTTCTCAATGCTAAGATGTCTGATTTTGTATATCACACCTTTTAATTTCTTTTTCTAAAACCAGCTTCTACATGTCAAATCTTAGAAGTCTTCCCCATTCACCTATTTAGTAATGTAATGTCAGCACAATGTCAGTGTCAGTAGACCTCACACATAGTTTTTAATTGAAACAGAGGTCACAGACCATCAGGAGCTTTGTCTGTCCTTTTCTCCCCACAGAGGACAGCAGGTCTGCAGCAGGAAATCCAAATGCTCACCAAACGGCTGGAGCAGCTATGTGGCCGCTCTGAAGAAGCCGTTGGAGAATTCTCCCAAATGGAAGAAAGGCAGAGGGAACAAAAAAGACCCTTGAAACGTATGGAAGGAAACACTGCTATTAATGACTTTTTTCAAGAGAGATTAGAATTGAACAGGAAAAAAGTAAGAATTTCTATATATAAAGCATTTCTTTGACAATGAAAATGATCATATTTTATGGTATCATCTAACGTTTAAAGCTGTTGATACTTAATATTAGAAAAGGGAGGAAAATTTGCTACAAACTTTTAAACCTTCTGTTTTTATCAAAAATCCTCTCCTTGGAAAGCCTGGGCAGCTTAATGGATTGGGCATCTGACTTCAGTTCAGGTCATGGTCTCGTGGTTCGTGGGTTCCAGCCTCGTGTCGGGCTCTGTGCTGACAGCTCAGAGCCTGGAGCCTGCTTCAGATTCTGTGCCTCCCTCTCTCTCTCTGGCCCTCTCTTGCTTGCGCCCTCTCTCTCTCTCTCTCTCTCTCAAAACTAAATAAACATTAAAAAAAATCCTTTCCAGGGGCGCCTGGGTGGCTCAGTTGGTTGGGCGGCCGACTTCGGCTCAGGTCACGATCTCACTGTCCATGAGTTCGAGCCCCGCGTCGGGCTCTGTGCTGACAGCTCAGAGCCTGGAGCCTGTTTCAGATTCTGTGTCTCCCTCTCTCTGACCCTCCCCCGTTCATGCTCTGTCTCTCTCTGTCTCAAAAATAAACATTAAAAAAAAATTAAAAAAAAAATCCTCTCCTCTTTCCATATCTCTCATTTCTCTAAGATGCACACATTTGGTATTTATTATGAGGGCATTTGTTAATGTATTTCTTAATGTGCTTTAAAAAGCCGATTTGAAGGAAAGGAGCTCAAGGGAATGACTGTACAGGTGGAGCCTCAGGCACTGTGTTCCCCAGAATGTCAGGACACGAACTGTCAGTGTCCCGACACAAACTGTGAGATCATGATCTGAGCCAAACTCAGGAGTCAGATGTTCAACTGACTGAGCCACCCAGGCACCCGTAAATGCTATATTAAATTTTAAGAATATTCAATTAACACATGCTTTCTATAACTCTTGAAACCAAGTGAAAAGTTTTTAAGAAAACAATAATAATTTCCCCCAACCTTCTTTCTGCCTATTTTACCCCAGTAAACAGCAGTATATATATCTTCTACAACTATTGCCATGGTTATGGAAATAGTCAAGTACATGTATGTAGGTACTTTTTATCAAACTGGGACTGTGTGGGGGCACCTGGGTGGCTCAGTAGGTTAAGCATCCGATTCTTGGTTTCGACTCAGGTCACCATCTCAAGCCCTGTGTCGGACTCTATGCTGACAATACATGGGATTCTCTCTCTCCCTCTCTCTGTCCTTCCCCTGCTTGCACCCTCTCTCTCTTTCAAAATAAATAAACTGGAAAAAAAAAACTGGGACTATGCTAGTGAGATACTGTTCTTACACAGTAAAAAGTAAGTACCTCATGGTTTTTCCTTAGGTTAAAAGAATGGATTGAACTCATTCCTTTAATAGCTGCATAGTATTCCACAGAGTATATATAACTTATTTATTTGATTAGTTCCCTACTGATGGACTACTAAATTATTTCCACCTTTTATGCCATTACAAATAATGTAGCAATAAATATATTTCTACATATGTCTTTCCACATTGGTGCTTTCTCCCCCTAGGCGATTGAGTTCTAGATATGAAATTATAGGATCACAGTGTATGAGTATTTTAAATTTTAATAGCCACTGCCAAAATACTACCTTCCAAAAAGCAACAGTTTCACTTTCCAAATAGAAATGCCTGAGTGCCTGCTTCTTCTTCACAGCCTAACCAGCACTGGATGATGTCATTCTTTGAGAGAGAGAGAGTTGGGTTAAAATAGTATAGTTATAACATTTACCTGATTACTAGTAAGGCTGAGCACCTTGTTTTTTGTTTGTTTGTTTGTTGGCTTCTTGTATTCCTTTGCTTCCCTACTCCTCACAATTTGGACCTCATATGCAGAAGGTTGAGTTAATCAAACTCTATGGTTCATAATACACTATCTTGGGCCATGGAAGAGCTTTCTCTTATTTATTTACTCCTTTTAAGTCTATTTTCCCATTCCCTCTTCCAAAAGAGATCAATCTAATGTGTTTAATGTGTATCTTTTTGTCTATACTATGTGGGGGTTAGGGGTGCTGACACCTTCCCCATGTAGTTGAAAGGTCCCATGTATAATTTTTGACTACCTCAGAACTTAACTACTAATAGCCTACTGTTGACCAGAAGCTTTGCTGATTACATAAAGAGTCAATTAACACATATTTTGTATGCCATATTTATGTATATGGTATTCTTATGATAAAGTAAGCTAGAGAAAAGAAAATGTTAAAAAAAAGTCATAAGAGAGAATACATTGTACCACGAGAGAGTACTGTACCATGTTGATAAAAAATTTGCATGTAAGTAGACTCACACAGTTCAAACCCATGTTGTTCAAGGGTCATTTGTATATGTTCTTTTAAATAAACTTTTATTTTATTATTTATTTTATTTATTTATTTACTTATTTAATTTTATTTTTTTTAAATTTATATCCAAATTAGTTAGTATATAGTGCAACAATGATTTCAGGACTAGATTCCTTAGTGCCCCTTACCCATTTAGCCCATCCCCCCTCCCACACCCCCTCCAGTAACCCTCTGTTTGTTCTCCATATTTATGAGTCTCTTATGCTTTGTCCCACCTCCCTGTTTTTATATTATTTTTGTTTCCCTTCCCTTATGTTCATCTGTTTTGTCTCGTAAAGTCCTCACATAAGTGAAGTCGTATGATATTTGTCTTTCTCTGACTGACTAATTTCACTTAGCATAATACCCTCCAGTTTCATCCACGTAGTTGCAAATGGCAAGATTTCATTCTTTTTGATTGCTGAGTAATACTCCTATATATATATATATATATATATATATATATATAT